TGAACTGTATTTCCATAAAATGTATTACTTGTTTGTTTGTTCATTTGTTCTTCCAATCATTCATTTATTCTTCCTTTATTAATTAATTCATTCACTTGAGACATGTACCTATTTCTGATATTGTATATTTCTAAGAGTCGTAAATTTGCCAAAAAAGAACAAGTATGTGCTTAGGTTTCATCATTAATTGCAACGTGTAGAAATTGAAATTTATTTTTTCTTAATTATTGTTCTACTGAGTATACATTCATCCTATGGTTATTATAATGGTATGCAATAATTCGTTAACAGGTTGTGAAGCATCCATCTAAAGTGATAGAATTACAGTTGAAGAAAAAAGGATTTGAGATGTTTCCAGGACAATATGTGTTTTTACAATGTTCTAAGATATCAAGATTAGAATGGCATCCATTTACTCTCACATCTGTAAGTTGAATCTGATCATTTTATGAAAATAAGCCTTATTACATAATCTTGATGCATTTATAGTGCTGCAGCAGGGACGGTAATTATAGACTTGATTGCTGCAATCATAGTGCTGTAGTGTAGGAGAAATGAACTTGCTGCAATCATAGCGCTGTAGTGTAGGAGAAATGAACTTGCTGCAATCATAGTGCTGTAGTGTAGGAGAAATGAACTTGCTGCAATCATAGTGCTGTGGTGTAGGAGAAATGAACTTGCTGCAATCATAGTGCTGTAGTGTAGGAGAAATGAACTTGCTGCAATCATAGCGCTGTAGTGTAGGAGAAATGAACTTGCTGCAATCATAGCGCTGTAGTGTAGGAGAAATGAACTTGCTGCAATCATAGCGCTGTAGTGTAGGAGAAATGAACTTGCTGCAATCATAGCGCTGTAGTGTAGGAGAAATGAACTTGCTGCAATCATAGCGCTGTAGTGTAGGAGAAATGAACTTGCTGCAATCATAGCGCTGTAGTGTAGGAGAAATGAACTTGCTGCAATCATAGCGCTGTAGTGTAGGAGAAATGAACTTGCTGCAATCATAGCGCTGTAGTGTAGGAGAAATGAACGTGCTGCAATCATAGCGCTGTAGTGTAGGAGAAATGAACCTTGCTGCATTCATAGCGCTGTAGTGTAGGAGAAATGAACGTGCTGCAATCATAGTGCTGTAGTGTAGGAGAAATGAACTTGCTCCAATCATAGCGCTGTAGTGTAGGAGAAATGAACTTGCTGCAATCATAGCGCTGTAGTGTAGGAGAAATGAAACTTGCTGCAATCATAGTGCTGTAGTGTAGGAGAAATGAACTTGCTGCAATCATAGCGCTGTAGTGTAGGAGAAATGAACTTGCTGCATTCATAGCGCTGTAGTGTAGGAGAAATGAACTTGCTGCATTCATAGTGCTGTAGTGTAGGAGAAATGAACTTGCTGCAATCATAGCGCTGTAGTGTAGGAGAAATGAACTTGCTGCAATCATAGTGCTGTAGTGTAGGAGAAATGAACTTGCTGCAATCATAGCGCTGTAGTGTAGGAGAAATGAACTTGCTGCATTCATAGTGCTGTAGTGTAGGAGAAATGAACTTGCTGCATTCATAGCGCTGTAGTGTAGGAGAAATGAACTTGCTGCATTCATAGCGCTGTAGTGTAGGAGAAATGAACTTGCTGCATTCATAGCGCTGTAGTGTAGGAGAAATGAACTTGCTGCAATCATAGTGCTGTAGTGTAGGAGAAATGAACTTGCTGCAATCATAGCGCTGTAGTGTAGGAGAAATGAACTTGCTGCAATCATAGCGCTGTAGTGTAGGAGAAATGAACTTGCTGCAATCATAGCGCTGTAGTGTAGGAGAAATGAACTTGCTGCAATCATAGCGCTGTAGTGTAGGAGAAATGAACTTGCTGCAATCATAGTGCTGTAGTGTAGGAGAAATGAACTTGCTGCAATCATAGCGCTGTAGTGTAGGAGAAATGAACTTGCTGCATTCATAGTGCCGCAGCAGGGATGGTAATTATAGACTTGATTGCTGCATTCATAGTGCTGTAGTGTAGAGGGAAACAGACTTGCTGCATATATAGTGTTGTAGCAGGAATGGCAAAAGACTCGCTGCATTCAGAGTGTTGCAGCTATAGTTTGTTAAAGATATTTGCCATTCTATTCATTTTATAAAAAAACTCATTTTAGTTTTAAATTAATTTTTTAATTTGGATTTGCTCATAAACTGCTTGAAAATGTTGCTTATTAAATCATAGTAATATGCAGTCCTATGTACACCTCTTACATATGGTCAAAATAACCACCACTCTTTATTAGAAGTGATATTGTTCAGTTTTGAGTTTCTACTTTTATGCATGACTGTGTGCATTTGCATATCAATATAACATATTATTGTGGTTACAGGCACCTGAAGAGGACAATTTTAGTGTTCATATTCGTCTAGTTGGTGATTGGACAGAGGCTCTGGCTAAAGCATGCAGAGCTGATGAATTGGAATTCCAAGAAGCATGGAAGATGCCTAGGTAAGTGAGAAGATGCCTAGGTAAGTGAGAAGATGCCTAGGTAAGTGAGAAGATGCCCGGGTGTGGAGCTACCTATGTGCGTGTTGATATGTCTAGGTGAAGATACCTGGGTGAGTGTGAAGATGCTCTGATGAGTGTGGCAATGTCTGGGTGAATATGACAATTATGCCTCGGTGAGTGTGATGATGCCTTGGTGAGTGAGAAGATGCCTAGGTAAGTATGGCAATGCCTGGGTGAATTTGGAGCTACCTAGGTGAGTGTGGGGCTATCTAGGTGAGAAATTGCCTACATGTGAATAAAGTGACTGTGGGCCTACCTACTTCAATGTCTGTATGAGTGCAGATCTGCCTAGGTGAAGATATCTTGGTATTTATATCCTTTAATACAATTCAAGGAATAAAACAATTTCCTTGAGTTGCATTATGTGAAAATGTGTCTCTTATTCAATGAATGCAGTAAAGGTTATCAATTGAATTTGTATGTTTGATATACAATACGAAAACAGCACAAAGCTGTCATGTATGCAACAAGATTGTCAACTGAGATATTAATATAAATTATTATGGAAAATAACATTGAGTAAATTTTAATTTCATGTTTCGCACAGTTTGTCAGTAGATGGTCCATTTGGTACAGCAAGTACTGATATATTTGAGTATAATGTGGGTGTGTGTATAGCAGCTGGTATTGGAGTCACTCCATTTGCTTCAATATTGAAATCAATATGGTAAGATAGTCATCATTTAGTACTGAATAAAAATGCTGGTCAGTTTGGCAGCACATTTAAGTGTTATGTACAACCTGGAATCATTCCTAGCTTGTATTCTAGTTATTCCTCAATGAATAGATAAGTTTTGAGATTTCTGGCTGCTACCAGTGTATATCAAAATAGAAAGTGGGCGAGCAGTATTATAACCAGTCATTCCTTTCCTTATAATTTTGCACAAGTTGACATCAGAAATGTCTACAAATAATGATGTATGTATCAATGTCAAATTATATTTTGTTGGGAATCATAAGTGAAAATGTTTTTTTTGTTTTATTCTATTAATTTTAATTTGACATTTTGTAAACTTTGAATTATTGCATTTCTATAATACACAATCAACGTGTATAAAGCTGATATGTTGTAAAATATACCTGCCTGAGACTATTTCTGACAACTGATGACCGTCATTATCGTTAACCTTCATTCTGTAATTAATGATATGCAGGCATGTGCCATTTGTAGTGCATGGTTCAAGACAAAATCCATATAAGAAATTAAAGCAGTGTTTGCTTACAACAGTTCTGTTTTTGTGTGTCTAAGAATATTACAACACATCATTGTCAACACTGTTGTTCAGATGGTAACCAAGCACAATAGCGTCTAGCAACAGTCAAGCAATGATGACTGAATTCCTGAATATCAATTTTAATATAATGTGTTGCAACGTATTTTGTCTTATTTCAGGTACAAGTATTTGAATCCTGATTTTGAACTTAAACTACAAAAAGTTTATTTTTACTGGATATGTCCCGATACCAATGCATTTGAATGGTTTTCGGATTTACTGCAATATTTAGAAACACAAATGAAGGAACAAGGCAAAGCAGAATTTCTGGATTATAATATATACTTGACAAGAGGATGGAATCGCAATCAGGTAATATGTTAAAATAATTATAATATATACTTGACAAGAGGATGGAATGTGAACCTGGTAAGGTTGATATTATCATAATTTATAATTCACCAGTATTGATCTGTAAATTATAAAATAAAAAGCTGTGCCAAATCAGACCTCTCAATTTGTGTAAAAACAAATGATATTTATTTTTCACCAATAGAGAGTAACCATTCTGATAAGGACTTCACCAATTTATAAAGAATGTAGTTACGCTACATTTATTCAGTGCCTGGGAAAAACAACATTTATATTATTCCCTTGTTCCCAAATTACTGTGGCTTGATTTTAGAAACACATCTTCAATAAAATGTACAAATAAAGCAAAAACTACATTAATTGTATACTGGGTTATTAAAATGTTCCTATTTTATCTATAGACATACTTACGTCCTTCTCATATGCGCATGTGCTACTAATAGAGTAAATATGGTATTCATCATGTCAAATATCTTGTATTCAGGATCATACACATGAGATGTATTTACAGCTACCAACCTTTATTATGTTAATTAATATACTTTATTTACAGGCAAGAAATATTTACTTACATGAGGGAGATAGTTCTGACATAGTGACCGGACTCGCACAAAAGACATTATATGGCAGACCAAATTGGGATCAAGTGTTTCCTGCTATTAGCAATGCACATCCAAGGTAATATGTCACAATATATTAGTATTATTGTAACATCTCTAAACACACCTCACCCAAACACAACGCCTACCCTGAAAGACCCATTCCTAAACAAACACACCTCACCCAAACACAACGCCTACCCTGAAAGACCCATTTCTAAACAAACCCACCTCACCCAAACACAATGCCTACCCTGAAAGACCCATTAC